GCGATGAAAAATACTCGAAGCGTATGTCCAGTCTGGGAAACACCGAGTGTCGAATGAATTGAAATGGAACTCTCAGCTACGAGTACTTATGTGCATAAGCTATTTTTCAAAATTTAAATTTTCTGCAGATACTGCTGGAGAATCTGTATTATTCGTCAACAAAATTCTAAATTATGTACGCAAAACTGCAAGTCATATTTCTTGGATTGTGAGTCATTCTAAAACGGTCGGAGAAACTATTTTCATATCAACCATGAGTTAAAGAAAACAAAGCAACAAAAAGACTGCCGAATTTAGTAGTAAACCTAGAAGCATTTTCTCCGAAAGCGAGGTGAGCCACAGTGGCAAAATCGATTCGATGTAGACGTATCGATTCGTCGTCTTATTCGGACACTAACTAACAATATATACGAAAGCAACAAACCCCATATATTTTCACACTATGCACACACACACGCACACAGCACACGCGAGCGCAGGCGCACGAACAACCGAACGAGACAGTGCATATTTGTAGTGTAATGACCCCGGGATTGGGAACACGGAAAGCGAGTCAGGGACTGGGAATCACGACTGGAGGCAGCATGAAGTCAGTCATGATGAGCGCGAAATGGCCTCAATGGTGGATTCGTTTAATGGTGGTGGAGAGAATATACAATGCGCGTGCACACACACACACACATGGTGGAGGATACAAACGTATGTCATCAACACTCTGTTCTGATACAAGCACCTGTATAGTGGATTTGTACGGACGAAGATTTTCTGCTGTAGGCAAACGTCTGTGTTGCGCCAGAGACAAACCAGTATGGAAAAGCGAATAGGGACAATGATACCCAGCTTAACCACGTGAATCTTGAAAATCCAGTCACCAAGACACATATCACGATTTGTTAAGCTAATAATTTGAAACTCAATAAACAGAGCTGAATGCCAGGAATTAATCTGAGAACCACATAAAACATGAGCAGCAAAGCCTGTACATGTTCCATTGTAAAGAAGTGGAATGAAACCAGCTTAAAAATAGGAATAAAACAGCTGAGCTACAAATACAAAAAGAAACATGATGAATAAACTGAAAGGCTACTCGAAGGGGCTATAGAGCCAGCATCAAAGACAAAAATAATACGTTTGTAGCGCATTTCAAAAGTACCTAGGTGACTCGCTTCACGGTGACAGTGAAAAACGAAAAAACTTGATAATTTTCCAATAGTCCCTTGGAAAGCATGAACGAAATACGGTGTACATCGAAGGCTATTCCGAAATCATGTATCATGTATCATGATATCAACCTAATTCAGATATACTAGATCTCGGGTTATAACCGGGTCGATGAACCAATGGCAGTTCATCTAAGGGAGTTCGCTAAAAGCGACGATTCCAAACCAACTAACTAGAGGCATACGAACTACACATGAACACACCTTACTGGTTGTGTCAGTGGACATCGAGGTGTATTGGGCATCTTGAACGTTCGACCTCGTCCAAAGGGTGTATGAACCGATAAATTGGACACCCGCCCCAATGGACTGAAGTTTCCCTACACCGCCCCGCTGCCCTGCAGGTCAGGCTTTCGCTAACCAAAGGCTCCAGTTGTGAACTCCCTTAGAACGTTCACCTGATTTGGCCTGGGCAACGTAANAACGTAATGGTATCGTACCCTCAAGCAAATCTTGGATTTTTTTATTAAATATTATTGTACCGGGATTTTTTTGGCTTAATCTGGATTCAGACGCTCGTGCTTTCGCTTAATTTCTGTGCACATTCAGCCTACTTGAATTCTTATCTTTAATTTCGTTCTACTCTCATATTTTGTTTACTCAACTTCTTACTCCATCGCCGACCGAATGGGTAGCAAAAAGTCGACAACCGAAACTGATGTGCAAAAGTAAGCAGCTAACGGTTGCATAAATCGAAGCTGAACCCTACCGATGCAACAGTCATGAGGCTACGTATATCACACACCTCCTCATCTCTTCACTAACGCGAAGCGACACCACTGGCTCCGACCGATTCATATAAACAAACTTTCTGTCATTGGTATAACACGCGATTGCATCCAAAATGAGTGTAGGAGTGAAACATCTAGCTCGAAATGTTTTTCAGTCTATCAGCTGATCTGAAGCGGTCTTGGTCCGACCGTGACAGAAAAGCCGAGCGCCTTGGAGCAAATTACAGTCGAACAGAGCTAGTGTGCTCACGTCTGTATGCCATCCGTTGGCCGACCCAATAAAAGCACTCAGATAATTTTAGCATGGGAGAGCACTTGATAATAAAATGAAAACTACGGCACAGCAGTAGTGTCCATGAAAAACAGAGGCTGCTAATCATAGGGTAATTAACATCCTCATCATCATTTTGGTACCACTGAGCGCAGAGATCCTGGGATTGCATACGGATAAAGCCGAATAAGACTGAAACCCGGTGGAGGATCAAATATAACTGCACGCAGAAAACAAAACAAAAATCACTGCATGACTGGCAACGGAATAACGACGAAATTGATGATTTTCTTGTACATCAACGGTCATTCCTGCATATTTCCCAGTCAGACGATAGTTCTAAAGATAATATTTTTAATTGAAGAGTTATAAATTAAATAGGTTCATCAGAATGAATTAGCAAGGTAACTGAGCCCGAAACGGTGGGGTGACCCGATGAATCATCTCATTCACAATAGTTCACGTCAGTATCAGCACCAGACATAGCACGAAATGACTGCACGTAACATGTCTACTTACAAACTGGGTTACATGGGCACTAAGAGCAAAACAACTACCTGCCTCACAGCTGCATTTAGTGTGAGAGACATAGGAGGCGAAAAACTAAACATTATGTGAACCGACGGAGTGTATTCGAATTTCCATGAATGGAATAACCTGTGAGCAAACGTGCAGAGTGAAAGTTAAGATAGAGCTAGAAACCAAACAATTAAATCAACATGACGCAACAAACAGAGACTCATTCCTCCTTGCTTAATCTAATCTGTAACAGCTGTTAGAGCAGCCTCACGAAGTACACCGTTTTATAAAAACATTTCTTCTTTTGAATTTTTGTCATCGTAACACTATTTGCATTTTAATGCACTTTTATTCACCCGCCGATGACCGGTCCCGCTAAGATTGTGCTGTTAGTATCAAAACAACAATGACGACCTCCTCTTGATAGAATAAGTTTAACCACGCAAAGTTGTTATACTCAAATTTGGTCCACTTGCCAAAATCATGTAATCGATTGCATGAAACTTCTTATGCTACATAATCACGAAGCCCTAGTGTTCGGATTATGGGAATCGACCTAAGCCCTAGGATGAGATAGCGAATATTTTAGGGTGTGGCAATAAGCCAAGTATCAGTAGACCTCCCGGTCACCAAAGTGGGAGGATGAGAGAAGAGATTTTACCCTGGGTCATAGAGCTTTCAGTGCACCAATGACCTAACTCACTGGATCATCACTCACTTGGATGGTGATCGATAAGGAAAATCAGTAACTGGGCTGAAATGATGAATGGGAAGATAAATCTACACCAAAAAGGTACAAGTTGGACACTTGATGAAAACTTCTTATCGTTCCAATCCCCATGCTTGCATGTAGGTGCAGTACGGAAATGATCGAGACTACTCGCCTATCAAATTGATGGCACGAGTTTTATAGAATTTCAAGCCATGTAAGCGGAAGGAAGAAACGAAATGACCAGAAGGAAACACCATTCAGATCGAAATTTTTCACAGGAAATCTGAGATCAACCGATCACATAAGATGAGAGTACCTTCATTTTGATATGCTACTTCTATGCCACATAATCAGGTATTTCCGATGTGATTTCAATACTATCAGGACATATGACGCTGCAGTGCAGAGATGGGTTGCATACGGAACACGCAAATCCATCGCCTCACAGCACGGCAAAATTAAGACGGCGGAAATCCAATGAATAACCATCGATAAATGGAACGGATAGTGAATTTCCTTAGGGGATGATAACGAGCGCTCCATCAGATCAATGCACTGATCGTAGGAAATAGACAAGGAATTGTCTTCGAAAACGTAAAACTTTAAGAATTGATTTTCCTTCCATCTTTGTCCAACATCATTCATTATTTTGATTGCTACAGCACGCACTTTCTCTTAAGGATAAACTGATAATGGATGGCTAAAACATTAGAATGAAAAATAAGGATGTATCCAAATTGAATCAAGCTCATTTTTTTAACCAAATGATCGAAAAATGGCGGAATGTGTTGACTGATTCACGTCCTATTGCGCCGAAAAGGATCCGGTGTTTTTTTCGTAGAATTTCGACGGTCAGATATTGTTGTAATTGCCATTTGGCTTATCTCTTACATTCATTTCAGTAACAATGCTTAGAAAATGAGAATCAAGCAAAATTCATCGTCGTTGTCGCTGACCACTATCGTGCACACAATGAAACCAAAGTAAGGTATAAGGTGGCTAGGAAGGGAAGGGAAAGTGAGCTCCTAAGTATATGTATATCACTGGTTTGTAAGCAAGCTTGGTGCCAACGCAACACAAGAATGAAAGAAAATGGGGGATTGGGATACAGAGCAGTGTAAAAGCGGAAAATATAGTCAAGTTTAAAAACAAGAACAATTTTTGTTCATCTCACCGTACACTTTTATTGTTGTTAATTCATCCTTTATCTTACGGGGCACGGGATTTCAAAAGGCTGTAAAGCATGCAATGATGAAAGCATTCGCGAAACGGACTTCCATTCTGGGCCATATTTCTCACTCTCTAACCAACGACAGTCCTCATCCGATGGGCCCAAACCTAGAAGGCGGGCTGTATCAACCGAAGCCAAAGCTGAAGTCAATTCATTCATACCTCTACGCCATGTCATAGTCTGACCGCACGCAAAGGTAGTCGATGGGTAGTCATACGCAAGACGTAGCCAAGCCATCGGAGGCGATGTAGAGCGATTACTTCTTTTAGAGAGCGACTATCCACACTCAAAACACGACGACGAACCTCATCATTGTTCATCCGATGTTCCCACCAGACGCGAACAATACTTCGGGGATATCGGTGGTCGAATACAGAAAGAGAATAACGATTAAGCACATCGGCTGAGTGGAGTTACAGAATGGGCACTGACTCGTTCCAAACTCACCGAAACTCCATACATCTGCTTTGGCTGTGTACGTTGATTGGAATACTTCGGGTGGAGCCCAACGAACGGGGAACTTGGTACCAGCACTTGGTTCGTAGACATTATCCAGAAGAAATCGAGCCATGCCAAAATCAGCCACCTTCACATGAACCGAATTCCGACTGACGGATTTGACTAGACAGTTTCGCGCTGCCAGATCCCGGTGAACAAACTGTTCCTGTTCCAAATAGGCCATTCCGTTGGCCACTTGGGCACAAATATCGGCCAGAACTACGGGTCGATTGTAGAAATGGGTTTGACGCTGTCGCATGAAGTCACGCAAGGAGCCTGTTACGAAAGCATGAGGATGGAAACGGAGACAAGATATATTACGAAGAGATTCCGCAGATTGGTACATGTCTGAACGAATAACATTGAACAGATACAATGCAAATGAAACAGTAGTCAGTAGCTCACGTGTGGGAGTCATAACAAAGATGAGATTAGGTGAATAGGAAAAAATTCACCGAGCCCAATAACCAAGCCAAGTTGTGGACCATTTCAGCACAACTGGAATAAAACAAACGAAGTCGAATAACGGCAACCCCATTACAGCCACGTATGGTGAGTGAAATCGAATGGCAAACGACCGGCCATTGAGAAAACAGCATACCGTGACCCAATTATCGTGATGCAGGGAGATAAATAAACCAAATTGCTAGCAAGTGATGCACTTGAAAATGACCTTTATAGAATGGGCGTCTGGAGGTTTTCGGAAAACTTTGACTAAAATCGTGCTACACATGGTCAAAGGAAAACTTGCGGTGGAACGCACGTCAAGTAATGCATGCGGCGAATTGAGTAAACTCTTTCAAATTGCTTTACAGAAGGATGTGTAAAACATTTGAAAAAGTGCGAAGGTTAACTGTTCCGGCCGTACTGGAACTCACCGATAGTACGTGCGGTTTCATGCCCATGCCGGGACTCAAACTGTGTCGAAGTCCTTGTCCCTGAGCAAGACGGTCCAGTAAGCTGAGTGCATCACTTCAAAAATTGAACCTATGCGTAAGGACACATGTCAATCAAGACTGAATGCAGTGGTTATGAACAAGCTCTTAGCTTTTACCATGTGTGGAGCACAGTTTAAGATTGGCTCGACGGGGGTGGCCGTATTCCCAGAGGTGAGTATCGATTGGAGTAAGTAGGAGCGATGAATCCATGACTGGTCGCGACGATGTTGAGATTTGAATAACTGAACTTAGTCGACTAAATGCTCTGAGGCTGGGGTCTGCTTGTATCGTTGCCATAATTCCAGCGTTTCCGTATTTTTACATCTAGTTCCCGCTTTGCTTCAATATGCTTTTCTCCAACTTTATAGACAAACGGACGGTACTCACGATTCCAGTCATACTGTGCAAATGTCCTGATTCCCCAAGATCAAACAAACAATAAGATAAAATGAGTTCACATAAGCCCGGGTTTATGGAACTAATCCGACGGAGCTATTTTCGTTTGCGTGAAAGTTGCAACAGCTGAAATTTGTTAACCGTTTTAAGAAATCATGATGGCCGCAAATTTGTCCCTCGTGACGCGGAAAAATAGCTGTCGCTGACTGCAAGAACAGAATCGGATAAAAGATGGGCCTGCGATCAGTGCGATGTTTGCTCATTGCCGAGGGAACAAACCCGATTAACTGTGTAATTCATGCTTATCCCGGTTTAGACAGCCATAAAAAACTGGCACTATTATAACAACCTATTCCTGAGCGACACATCATCAGGTTGCTCAGGTCCAAATCAACTTGGACTAGCCAAAGCCTGGTCCAGGATATGGGACAAAAGGGTTACAGATAGGGTTATCTGCCATGTTTCACAACCAGGAAGAATTAGCCAGTTAGTGTTTGGACCGCACGAACCGAATGCTCGAGAAGCCTCGAGTGTTAAAATTACAGTTTGACATGACCTCCGAACTGCGTGAACACTAACTATCATTCTAAATGAACTTGATCTGCCAAATCCATTTCGCCAAACCATCATCATACAGCGAAATACACCGAAACGAAATTCCTATTCGACTAATTTGGTAGTATTACGATTTGCACTTACCATGCTTCATGTACTCCGTGATGATCATGATCGGACGCTTTTTCAGTACAACACCGAACAGTTGGACCAAATTGGGATGATTCAAAAATCTGCGGTAGTTGTGATGTGATCAGTGAGATAGGGCAGAGATTAGTGGGATGAAGAAAGCAGTGGTTGTTGCAGAAAAAGACAGTGGGAGAGGATGTAGCAAAACAGGTAGCATCGTTGACTGGTTCATGAGAAAAATAGATTTAGCAAGTAACTCTCTCCCAGACCAGTGTAGACAACACTTCGGTGGGAACAAGGAATCAGTTCATCGTGAAACTAACACACTCACAGGGAATCACGACAAAGTGAAGATGGAAGGCGATCGATGGAAAATTTGGTTGATTAAATAATAGCTAATGAGAACCGTCGTGTCATTTAACAATGGGAACGATAGTAGGGGTACGACTGAGTTCGATCCAAAACATATTCTTAGCGTGGCATTCCGAAAAATAATGGATGGCATATGACACAAAACACGCAGCGAACGAATTTGGCCAAAATGTGACACCTTTAATTCAAAACTGGTTTTCGTTTGACCCTAAACAAATAGAATTGATTCTGACTGGTGCACCGATTTTTCGACACTGTGCATACACACAAGGCTTTCAGATTAAAACTGTTTTCACTATGACCAATCCCATTGGTCTACCGTATTAGATAAAGAGGAACTCAGAACCTCAAACTGTACTGCGAACTTTTACACAATTCGGAGAAAACTGTTTCGATAAACAGTATTCCGGGTATGTCAACCACAGAGAGAGGAAAATTAGATCAGTAGAATGGATGCACAGTTAAAAAGTACATATTTAAAGATTTGTTGTTTTCAGCCGACCAGTCTGACTTCGTGAACGGCAAGACGAACAATATATTTTAGTTTTGTCTGAAACAATGAACCATCTCTGTCCTCGTACACCCCGTGAGCGAATAGATTTGGATTGGAACAAGTTTCACAGTGTCAGGTATTCATTCAGACTCGTGAATTGTCGGAGAACAGCTATTTTAGATCTCCATTCAAAATGTGCTGGCTAATCGGGAGAAGCTTCTTTACCGAAGAATGGGAACATGAATACCATGATACAAATGATCAGGTGTTGGAAAAATTCCCATAAACCTGTGCCAAAACTGCTTTAGTCACAGACCCCCACCCAAAGAAGGAAAAACCCTGTGAAGTCAGGCAAAGCCGATAATGAATAGCTACTTCAAACTTCGAAAGAGAAAATACATCAACAGTTTGCCTTGCTTGGGAAAATGAATGAGGTAGGCGTATGTGTAGTAAGGGGAACCGTAGACTACCTTTGCACACTCAACCCCCGAATAACTGCCAAAGTAGAAACTTCTATTCTAGAGCGGTACATATAAAAGAGGCTAACGGTTGCACAAATGTTGAGTTACGCACCCCAGTTACGCTTTCGAGGGAACAAACGCTACCGCTGATGGCACGTCAAGACACAGCACAAAAATGCTTTACGGGTTATAGTTACCTTTGCATAAATTTAGGGTGTGTAGGGTGCTACCAACATATTCAAGTGCACTCAGCGCCCGAATACCCCGAACCAACCATGATGTTCTTCTATTATATGAAACTGATATTTATTGAGGACTGCTCAGACTAGTAATGACACAAACGGTAATGTTGCTTTGAAAAGTAATGAGAAAGGATTTTTGAACATCGAACAAAATGCGATGTATGACCGGCGTTGTAGAGTTAGCTGTGCATTCTCTTGACGAAGAGAGGCGCAATTAATTTTCTGATACTATCGGTTGTTACAATTCGATTGGCATCTGGGGTGATCAGTTAAAACAACTGATCGCTGTTCGTCAAACGCTCAAGTTTTGTCAGAGATCGGTTAGGTATTCCAGGATGAGTTGAACCGGATCTTTCTGTTAGGGTACACTGACGGACGCCTATGCCCAAGAATGGATCACACGCAAACTTCTAACGTTCACCATACTTAACGAACATGTTAAATTGTATATTTAGGGTGCAACATCTACGTCCGAATACCAAAAAGGAAAAAAAATCAGCAATTAAGTAAAATTCGCTGTTTTGGCTGAAACGGTCAGCAAATTGTAGTAGCGCTTAGTCGACTTAAAACCAGATGCAGTCGCACAAGGAATATACCTCACTTATTTCTCTTATTAATAACCTGAACTGATCAAAACACCATTAGTACTTACTGTGTTTCTATGCCTACGGGAACTCGAATCGCAAACCGGTTGGGAAACAAAACTTAAGAGTCTCCCGACCAACGATCAACACCCTAAACGAGTGGCTACATGAAAAGAACATTCTCCTAGTGCAGTCGACGCAGATGAGGTTCAAGGATGTCAAAACAGATGTTTCGTGCTCTCTATTAGCTATGACAAAGAAAATCCTATAGTGTTTAAAAATGCATTGTCGTGGAGGGATTTTAACGAACTCCCAAAGAGAGAGACCCACCCAGGATAACAATGTACACGCCCAAGGCCTGTGAACGCGTGTGGACAATGCGAAGCACTGTGCATTTTTATTGAACCCTTGCGTTTGTGGTGTTGATCTTCAATCGTGAAATTCACGAAGGTTCGTGGTTGAAATTCCAGCAAGGACCCTGAAACATTAAGTGCCGCCGACATCCAGGGCTATAACCGGGTTGGTGGACCACCGGTAGTTCACCTAAGGAAGATGACCAAAAACCCTGATTCCAAACAAACCAAGAGGAGGCATACGAACCACACACCATTTCGGTTGTGGCAATGGTCACCAGCTCAATTGGACATCGAGGTGTAGTGAGCACCTTGGACGTTTGACCCTGTCCG